TTTAAGTCAGTCGATGTATGCAAACTCTGCTGCGCCAATTCCTATTTAAGTCAGTCGATGTATGCACACTCAGCTGCGCTAATCCCTATTTAAGTCAGTCAATAAATAACCGCATGCTTCTCTTTTCTTACTTTCTTACTTTTAACCTTTCTTATTTTTTCAATATAGATCTTTCGCTTGTTTTAAAGAAAATGTGTATAAGTAGCTAACACACATCCTCTTTATACATTCTAAAAATAAGCAAGACATACACACATGCATGTTTATCTTAAGCTTTATTATACTATGTCACTCCCTCAATCGTTACAACCTTTCTTCTTATATTTAACACTTTAGCTCTTTATACTTACTTAGTTACTTACTTAATAAATTTTTGATGCAAACTAAGTAGATGATATGTAATTTTCTGTTTGTTAAGAAATTTTCATTTATTTGTTGATATTATATTATTGAAATAAAAAACTTTTGGTAGGATGGAAGTACTTTGGTTCATTTGGCAGCAAAGTCTGGACATCCTCATATATTACTGTATTTTATTCAGAAAGGAGTTGCTGTTAGAACTCCTAATTGTGTAAGATTACTAAATGTTGTGTTATAAATATATGTAATATATATATATATATATATATATATATATATATATATATATATATATATATATATATATATATATATATATATATATATATATATATATATATATATATATATATATATATATATATATATATATATATATATAAATGTATAAATATATAAATATATATAAATGTATTAAATGTTTGATATTGATTTGACCTGTAGCTTTATAAAAAATGTGAAGCTTTTATCAAATCAATCAAATAAATGTAAATTTAGTAAAAGTTTAAAAGAACAATAGTAGCTATATCAGTAAGTTTAACACAAGAGTTGTTTTAATTTTGTTTTAGGAAGGAGCTGAAGCTCTACATGAAGCATGCAAGCAAGGGCATGTGGTTGTTGCGCAAAAACTGATTGAGTGTGGTGCAAAAGTAGAAAAATACACTAAAGTTAATAATTAAGATATTTTAGCATTAAAAAATAAAAGTTTGTAATGTGGTTTATTTAACTATATTTTTAAGTTTATATTGTATTACTTATCAAAAAAGTATATTAAAAATGCAAACCTTAAATTAACCATTTAGTTATTGATTTTTCTCTTGTCTTAAGTTAAAATCATTTAATCAGTTGTAATAATATATTAAATTTAGATGTTTTTTAAAATATCACAAAAATAATTACTTTGTATACTTTTTTGGTAGACTTTTTAAAATAAAAGTGTTTGCTCAAATTGAAACCCTCAGTTGATGTATTTGACTCTGTTGTAACAATAGCTCAAATGATTTATGCACACTCCATTGTACCTATAGTTGTATAAGTTGATACATATACAGTCTGCTGCACCTATGGCTATAGCAGTTGGTATGTGCATAGTTCCCTGTGTCTATGGCTACATCATCCATCAGTTGATCTATTCACACTTATCATATAATATTAAAGATTATTCTTAAAAATCATGTTATTTTTTTAATTTTTTAAGATTCATATAATGGTTTTGATATTTAGGTGACAATTACAAGTCACTTTAATGTAAAGTAACAAAAATGTCTTAAAATAATGAGATTTTTTACTATTTCTACTAAATAAATATAAATATATATGTGTGCATGAAATGTTACTGGTGATTTTGTGCTGAAGTAGCCAAGTTTTGAGCAGTATCTATATATAAATGAGATCTTTTACTATAAAAAATATATTAATTTTATTATTTTTTTTTTTATAAACATGTTTGAATTAAGGTTTTAAAATTTACTGTGTGCAAAATATTTTAGTCTAAATAGGTAACTTAAATATGCAGTAGTAAATGTATATAATTTGTTTATTACAACTAACTGAGTTTATGTTGTTAAATATTTTTTATAGGATAATTACACTCCCCTGCACACTGCTGTTCGTTTTGGAAAATACGATGTGGCACAAGTTCTTATTGGAGCTGGTGCTAATGTTAATGCTCTCGGAGGACCTGTAATGAATTCTGAATATATATATTTTTAATATTATTTTAATATCTGTTTAATACTAATATTATTTTCATGATAATTGCCAATTAACATCTTAAAAAGGTTTCACACAATTCTACCAAGTTAGTGCAATACACTAACTAAACCAAGTTAGTGTATGTTTTTAGCGTTTGTTATTTAAATGATGTTTTTGTTAAAATGATATTTGTTAAAAATAATAATGATTTTAAAAGGTTTTTAATAAATGTTGTATAAGTTTTGATGATAATGTTGTAGAAATGTTGAAGAAATACTTAATTTATAATCTGAGATTTAATAAACTAAAAATAGTTGTGCAAATGATACACCAAACCTTTTAAATTTTATTTTTTCAATGATAAAAATAAATAAAAAATTAAATACAAATCTGTCATTTGTAGGATATATTACAGGATTACATAAAATCTGTTGCTAGAACACAAGATTTCATAAAAATAAAAAAATTATAATGTAAAAATAAAAATTAATTAAAAAAAAAAATTAGATAAAAATCTGTTATTTGTATTACATAAAAAAACTATTATTAGAGCACAAGATTTCATAAAATTCTGTTATTTTATACAGGATTACATTAAAAAACTGTTGTTAAAGCAAAAGGTTACAAAAAACATGTTATTTATATTCAGGATAATATAGAAAATTATTGCCAGAACACAAGATGAAATAAAAATTGTTGCTAGAACATAAGATTAAATAAAAATAAAAAGTTAAAAGTTTTTGCTTTTGAAAATCAAAAACAAATTTTTGCATAATTAGCATATTTAAATTAAAATTTTAAAAAATTGTTTCATTTCTGTGAAGTACAAATAACAAAAATTAAAGAAGTGATTACTGCTTTTTGTTAATCACTTAAAAATGAAAGAAGAGTTTAAACATTTTGAAATTTGAAAGTACAGACAAATTTAATTAGATGTTTTTAAACAAATACTTGTTTCCTTTATTTACTCTTTTTTTTAGATTTGCCTTTAGCTTTAATTTATGTTTTATCACCCAAAAATGTTAAATGTAGTTTTTTTTATTAAAAACTGTCAGTTTTAATGTTATTTTTCTTGGCATTAATGTATTCTACCGCAATCTTGATCACATTTGTATATGAAGAAAAGTATATCAGGCGCATTTATGTTTTATGTTAAAAACAATTTAGCAATTTAGCTATTATGTTAAAAACAACCAAGAACTAATCTGTTAGAAATAAATAAGGTTTTCACATAAATTAGAATTACAAATTTACAATTATAAATTTGGTTTTATACTTGTTACAAGGATATGTTTGTAACCTTAATATTACAAGAATATATATGTAACAAGTGTTATTTAAATATACAGGGCAAAAATTTAAAATGGCACTTAAGTTAGGAAAACAAAATTTATAAATTTTGAATTTACCTGGAAGCTACCAGTCAAATTCTAAATTTTGTAAGTTCAAGCTTATGTCATGTATGAATGTCATGTAAGTTCAAGCTTATGTCATGTATGAATGTCATGTAAGTTCAAGCTTATGTCATGTATGAATGTCATGTAAGTTCAAGCTTATGTCATGTATGAATGTCATGTAAGTTCAAGCTTATGTCATGTATGAATGTCATGTAAGTTCAAGCTTATGTCATGTATGAATGTCATGTAAGTTCAAGCTTATGTCATGTATGAATGTCATGTAAGTTCAAGCTTATGTCATGTATGAATGTTTTACTCAAAATTGCTCTGATTAAAGCCTAAGAAAACTTAGGTTTTGTGAAGTGACTATACAGGTGTTCTAGAAACTTTTGGAAAATCTTTTAAAATGTTATTAACAAAGGTTAGTTCAGTATTCCATCTCTAATATATGGTTTTAATTTTATTACCTCATTCAAGTATAAGTAAGAATTAAGGCAGAACTATTTGCAAAGAACTTTTCCTCTAATTTAATTCTTTAATCTAACAGCCTAACTCTTCCTGTCATTCTAGATAAACAGGTTAATCCACTGTTAGACATCTAAATTACTTTGGCCTTTATTGATAAAGTTATTTCTTTCTTAAGTTCATCTAATGCTTGTTGTCGGCACAACAACGTTTTCTTCAATATTTGCAATCTTTTCTTGTAAAGCTTCAGTATTTGGATGAGTTGTTGTAGTCTAACTATGTCAATCAGCAAACTAATACTTTGCCCAGTCATACCAAATTAAACTGCAGAATTTTTGTAATGTTAGTCTTGTTTTAAGTATGAGAACAAAAGCAAGAATGGCATAGTCTTGCAAAATATTGTGAAATATTCTCTAGAATTCTCACAAAACTATTTATTAAGATTTGATTAGCTGAGTCTTGTTCTCCTGCTGGAATATGGAATTTGTGGTTTAGTCCAATCAGTCTTCTCTCTAGTATTTGTGAGGTCTTATATTATTGTTTATATTATATATAAACATATATGTTATTAGTAAAGTCTTTGAGTTTTTAATTAACAAATTTCTAATATTTCATTTTGAATCTAATTACTTTTTGACATTCAATATAGATTTGAGCTGACTGAGTTATATTCCCAGAGTAGAGCTAACTGTTATGGTTATATGTTTATTATACTCTTTATCATGGTTATCATTTTTTTATTTTTGATAACATTCTCTAATCTCTTATTTGTCCCTGTATGGAATACTGTTGTCACATTTGGGCTGGTTTGTTTAAAGATACCCTATTTTTTCTTGATAAAGTCTAAATATGTATTTTAATTTTAGTTAGACCTGTTCTTTCTGCGAAATTGAGCCACTATCCCATTGTCACAAGGTTGTATTCCTTTTTCTTTTCTACAAATACTATCATGGTTGCTTTCCTATCACTTGTTGTCTCAAAGTCTCATTACTATGTTTGTCCTTTCATGCTCTAAAAACTTTTATTTATCTAGTTTTTTTCCTTCCACATCAAAGCTTTGGAATTCATTTATTTGGAACATACATTTTACATCTTCTGTCAACCATTTTTTTTCTCTTTTACAATATTTTTTGTTCCCTAGGTAATTCCCAGCGTATATAATGATTTTTTTTTTAAAACTAGTTCACTCTCAACAAGGCTTGCAGCCCTGTTGAGAGTGAACTAGTTTAAAAAAAAAATTAGTAACTGAAATTTATTTATGATTATATCATAGTTGAATTTTGAATTTAAAGATTGTTTTTCTTTTTTTTTGTACATATTTTTGGACATTTTATTAACATTAGACAATATTATATATACTATTATATTTCTGGATCTGTTGCTACAGTATCCAGAAATATAATACAGGTTTTTTAAATAAGTCAAAAGGATTTGAACAAAATTCACAATCATGACTGTTATTCCTTAAAAACAATTTTCAGTGTGTGATAACTTCCTTACTTTCTTCCTATTTAAGTCTTTACATTACTTGTAGTCATTGCAAATAATTTTAAATGTATGTATTTAAAATTATTTGTATATATATATATATATATATATATATATATATATATATATATATATATATATATATATATATATATATATATAATATATATATATATATATATTTACAAGTATAAAATATATATATATATATATATTTTATAATTGTTATTAGGATATGTTTGTAACCTTAATATTACATGAATATATACGTAACAAGAGTTTTTTTATTTATTGCAGTTTGTTAAAAAATTAATTTAAAAAAAAACTGTAAAGCATTTTAGGAGAGTGTGGGCGAGAGCAAGAATGAGAGCTAAAGCTCTCGCTTCCCGCCAAGGCCTATATATATATATATATATATATATATATATATATATATATATATATATATATATATATATATATATATATATATATATATATATATATATATAGACACACACTCACACACAACAATAATAGTTAAAAAATATCCTAAATGCCTTTTTTTTTAATTTTTAAAAAGATTAAAAAAAAAATAGTTGTTTTTTAGAAAAATGAAAGTTCACTGCATTTTGCTGCAAAACTAACAAGGTATTCTGAAAAACTAACTGAGCTGTTATCAAGAAGTGGAGCCAACATAGATATTATAAACTCTGTATGTTTTTTTAACTTTTCATTGTATATAATATTAATTTTAGATTAGTTTATTCAAGGCATTTGTCAAAAAATTGTATAATGTTTTCTTAGCTTTCCATAGCGATAAGAAAATATAATTGTTAGGTTTGTTTTTTTCGGAACATTTGTAAAAATTTGCATAATTACCTTGTTTGTTGAGTTTTTTTATTTAATTTTTATAGTTACCTTATTTTTGTAAATACCTTTAAGTAATTAGCATTATTTATAATTTAAAAAAAATCTTTATTTTGTTTTTTGTTTAAACTCATAATTAGTAGTTTTACAGCAATATCTTTAAATAAAAATAATTTTTTCGTTTCCTTTTTACAAATTTTAAGAGTGGAAAACAAACTAACAAGAAGAGTTATATTTAGATGGTTTAAAACCTTTGTTTTTAAATCCACACATTGTGGTGAATTTGAATTAACATTTGGTCATAACACATTTAAATTAAGTTTCTTGATCTTTGGAAAAGTAAATAGTTTTAATATAATTAGTTATTTACATAAAAATAATTTAAATTAAATTTAAAACATTATTCTGATTTGCTATTACTCTGATAGTGCTATTATTAGATAGTGCTATACTGCTGACCAGATATCAAGTCTAAACTAATAATACAGAATACAACCAATGTAACAATATACTAATAAAACCAATGCAGCTGGCAATCTTATACTTGCTATTTTCCAATGAATTGATTTTTGGTGTTATAAAAACTTAATTTGCAATATAAGTCGTATCTGTAACTATTGCTCTTCACTATTTTTTTCAAGTAATGACATGTTATTTTGTTAGAGTTAAAATATTATGTTTTTGTTAAATTAGGATGGTGATACAGCTTTACATGCTGCTGTTCGTGCAAGAAATTATCCAGTTATTAAAATTCTTCTTGAAGAAGGAGCATCTGTTATTATTAAGAATTCAGTGAGTTTGATTAAGAATGATTCCTTCTTGTATTAAAAAACTTTTCATTGTTGAGTTGTATTTTTTGTATAGGCATCGTTTAAGTTGTATTTTTTGTATAGGCTGGTGAAACACCCATCCATTTATCTATTTTGAGTATGTCAGTCTCTGGTTTGTTAGTTTTAATTGATGAAATGAAGAGAATCATGGCTGAAGATGACTTTCGATTGTATATTAACAGCAAAAATAAGGTTATATTTTTGCAATATAAAAATAGTTTTAGTTATATTTTATATTGCATTTAAAAAGCAAGAAAAAAGCTTACCTATGAAAGTAATAACTTTTTTAGCACGGAGAAACTGCTCTTCATTACTGTGCACGAATCCCACCTAAAAATGAAAATCAAGCCATTTACAATGATCTTATCAAGTTATTATTAGATAATAATGCAGAATCGAATATACCTACTTTAGAGGTAATTAAATTTTTATAAATATCATATATGTATATGGTATCATATATGTATATATATATATATCATATATGTATATATATATATATATATATATATATATATATATATATATATATATATATATATATATATATGTATATATATATATATATATATATATATATATATATATATATATATATATATATATATATATATATATATATATACGTATGTATATATATATATATATATGTATACATATATATATATATATATATATATATATATATATATATATATATATATATATATATATATATATATATATATATATATATATATATATATATCACTCCTGTTTATTGTCAAGATAAGACATGTTTGAAAAGATCTTTTAAATTGGTGTAATAAATTTGCTTGTAACTTTTTTTTTCGAGTTACATTTATCTGATTTAAAAAATATGTTCATCAATGATAGTATTATCTACAATTTTTGTTGTTTATTTATTTATTTACATTGATATTTAACCAGTTAAACTCGTAATTTATTGTAATGTTAGAAACATTTGTATTTACTAACTCAAACTATAAATTAGTATTCAACAGAATTAAAATACTGGATCAAAAAATATCAGCGATTGAAAAAGATATAAAATCAATTCCAGTCATCCCACAGATTATCCCAGACTCACCATCTTGGGGTAACATTGTTAAAAACAAACCAAATATATCTCCACAAATAGGACAAATCTGAGTTGAGCATAAACAAGTGACAAAAGGCGAAAAAAATATTATAATACTTAATGTTCCAGAACCAACTACCCCAGCTTGTGATACCAATCCAACACCCCCAGTACTATCATGTGTCTCTGGCGTTCTTAACATTCTTGGAATCACCAATGAAAATATTGTCTTCTCTAAACGTCTAAACATAAAAAAATCTTCAGTCGCTCGATTCCAATCAAACTTACAGACATCAACAAAAAAATATCCGCCCCATCCAATGCCTGTATGCTTGCTAATCACAAAATCTTCAAAAAGTCTTCATGCTGAAAGAGAACTAGAGTACCACCTACATAAGGATTAAAATGCCCGCAATACCAATCTTCATTCTAAACGCTGTAGAGCAGTCTTTAAGATTCTACAAAGAACCTACCAACCAAATTTACAACAAACTTACATTCACCCTGTAATAAAGTAGATACTCTAAATCAATTCCTTGCTGATTCTAACATTGATATTGCGTGTTTGACTGAAACATGGTTAAGCTCTAATGCCAAAAACGTTATCCTTTCACAAATAAATAAGAAATACAATTTTGTTAGCTCAAACTGGTTAGACCAATCTGGAAGAGGCACACTGATACTTGTTGATAAAAGATTCTCAAAGAAAATTGAACATATTGATCTACCTATTACCACCTGTTCATGATATTGATCTTAAAATTGTCTGAACCTTTCCAAAACTATTACCACATGAATACTAATCATGATCGATAATTTGTGCATATATCCCAGTCTTGTCAGTAATTTTACATCGAGAAAAGCATCTTTCCAACTTGCACAACTCATTAAACCAGTAATCAGTAGTTGCACTACCAACATTAAACTAGGAAGTGACTGGGGTCCCAGCCACGTACCCATCCCTGTCTAAAAATTAGACTTTTTGCAAACCTTTTGACAGGTAAAGCAGGTCTAATTACATTCACAATGTGCTTTTAGATTTGTCTGAGAGTAAGAGGGTCGTTATTTATCAATATAGGAATGCCAACAATATTGCGATATTTTTTGCAGTAAATAAATGAGTTTTGCTGTCTAACAAAAGTTGTAGATTTTATGTCCAGAATTTAAATCCTTAAAGGGATCCCCAACTGCCGAAACAAGTTGTGTTCATATTAAAGAAAATGTTAAAAAAAAAAAATTGTGCTGAATTTTTTTGATTAAAACTAAATAATGAATGCACACCATTAATTTTAAAATTCACGTTTTAGTTGAAGCTTGCTGTCTTCATTTTTTTTTAGTTCTCAGAGTCTATATGTTAGCCGCAATCAGCAGACTTGATAATTTATTCTGTGCGTATTTAATTCATAACAGTTTCAGTATTTATTGTCATCATATAATTTTGAAGATTTTTTTAAGATATAGTAATATTTTAGTATCACCAAATCATTTTAATTGTATATCTTTTTAATAAATACCAAAAAAAAGTTTGTGATACAATTAAAAGTTAAATTTATAAAAATAAAAATTTAATATATAACTAATATTTGCAGTAAATCGTACTGGTTTAAACAATACAAACAATATAAACAAGATACTAAAAGAATAATTTTACTAAAGCTTAAAAATTAATTTAAAGTATAAACTGAATAAAAACCAGTGACTTGAATAAAATATAAACTGAACTAAGTAGAAAATGAATATTAAACAATTTTTTTTTTTCAATAGCCATACAAATCAAACTAAATTAAAGTTAAAACAAATATTTGTACTAAAATATACAAAAAAAAGTTATAATATAAGTATAAAAATGAAGAATTGCATTAACTTGTTCGCTAACAGCCAAACAAAAATCTTTTCGTAGTGACCGTACATTTTCTTGAATAAAATTTGAATGGCATAACATTTACAATTAATTAAAATTCGAATAGTAAATCTCTTTAAAAGCATAAAATATTTTATATCAATAGTTGAGCTAAGCAAAAGTACTTTTTAATTAAATAAGTTTTTAACACACATTAACCAATAAGAAATGCTAAGTGCTCAAAACAATTGTTTTTATAAATAGTAACTAAAACATTAAGTCCAAAACAAAACTCATTTAATGAATAGAAAGAATATTTTTTCTTCAAAAGTCTTTGGTTATTACTTAACTAAATACTTAACACTTTTACAAGTTAAATTTTACAGTTTTAATGCTGTTTTGATTTATAACTTATAAATTACTTATAAAATGAAACTTTATAAATTTAAAGTTTTTTTTATGAAGGATCATTCAAGATTTTTTAACTTTGTCAAGTGATAACTTTTTTATAATTACACAATATAGCTTTTATTTTTTCTTGATTATGTAGAGAATTAATTAAATCTTAAGAACAAATTATGTGTCTAGAATGGAAATTAATGTACTAAACAAGACAAATTGTAAAGCATACTCAAAAGCTGCTACCAGAAGCTTGCGGTTGTGGAAGAGTTAAACCATAACTAAATGTAAATTAAACATAAAACGAACAACTCTATTAAACCATATGTACAAAATATAAAACGAGAAGCTGCATCATACTGCTTTTTTTTTTTCTCTGCCTGCGAACTCTAATAATCACAAAACATGTAAATATTGTGACATGATTTGTATAATTTTTTACTAAATCAAAAATATTTTTTGTGATTTAAAAAAAAATTATAAAAAAATTTGATTTTCTGATTGTAGTAGAAAAAATACTTATATCTACAACAAAAAAATGCTATCTTAAAAAGATATTGCGATGACGTCATACTGAAACTGTTATGAATTAAACACGCATGGAATAAATTATCAAGTCTGCAGATTGCGGCTAACATTATATAGACTCTGAAAACCAAAAAAAAAAAAGAGAAGGCAAGTTTTGACTAAAATAATAATTTTAATTTTATTGGTATGTGTTCATTATTTAGTTTTAATCAAAAAATTCAGCCCAAATGTTTTTTTTTGACATTTTCTTTAATATGAACACAACTTGTCTCGGCAGTTGGGTATCCCTTTAACCCACTATAAGCCTTAGGCTGTTACCTTAGGCTGTTACCTTAGGCTGTTACCTTAGGCTGTTACCTTAGGCTGTTACCTTAGGCTGTTACCTTAGGCTGTTACCTTAGACTGTTACCTTAGGCTGTTACCTTAGGCTGTTACCTTAGGCTGTTACCTTAGGCTGTTACCTTAGGCTGTTACCTTAGGCTGTTACCTTAGGCTGTTACCTTAGGCTGTTACCTTAGGCTGTTACCTTAGGCTGTTACCTTAGGCTGTTACCTTAGGCTGTTACCTTAGGCTGTTACCTTAGGCTGTTACCTTAGGCTGTTACCTTAGGCTGTTACCTTAGGCTGTTACCTTAGGCTGTTACCTTAGGCTGTTACAGAAGAAAAATCAGATTAAAAATCAGTTACTTGTTCAAAGCAATCAAAATTTTTTTTTTTTTTTTTGTCAAGACAACAGTATAAAATTGAATTCGTTCTGTATTTCTTATCTATAATCATTATTGTAGATAAGAAACTATACAGGAGCAAAGATAGAACCTTGTGGTACTCTTAAATTTACTTGAAATAAAGAAGGGTAGGCCTTCAAGAATAACTTTAATTCCCCAGTTAGTAAGAAATAATTTAATAATCTCAAAACATTTATATAAAGAAACAGAGTGAAGACTAATTGTAGTATAGTTGGAGAAATCTAGAAAGTGTTTTCTAGAGTTTTGAAAAACTGGAAAAATCAGAAATCTCTTCACTTTTCGCTAAACTTTTTAAAAGTTTAGCGAAAAGGGAAGAGAGTTCTGGAAAATAATATTTTAAGACTATGATAGCATCTTGTCTGGAGCACAAATTGTAGAAGTGTTTAATTTTTTTTTTTTTTTTTTTTTTATTTTGATTTACCTCCTCAAGGCCGAGAAGGCCACTACAGACGAGGAGGCTACTTATTTGTGGCTATAACCCTCTCTCAACTCTATAACTCCGAAACACGAACCTTGACAAACAAGGCCGTTGCGCGAAGAAACAAGTTGAGGGACTACCAGGGACGTGGTGGGGATCGAACTCGAAACCACTCGTTTATGAAGCAAGCGCTCTACCACTACACCACTACCGCATTGTCACATGCTTGGCCTAGGCATTTACATTCGTAAGAGTTCACCCATTTCTCAGGAAACTAGGTTTGAAGAAAAAAGTGAAGAGAGTTCTGGAAAATAATATTTTAAGACTATGATGGAAGTCTTGTCTGGAGCACAAATTGTAGAAGTGTTTAATTGAGATTTAACTTAAGCATTGGAAGCCAGAGTG